ACAAGGTAAACCAGTGAATTTTCGTTTATCGAAACAACTGGCAACATATGCAACAGAAATAGTACGTCAATTCCTCATATATGTGAATAGCTGAAGAGTCCAAAGCTAGGACGAAACAGCTGTTCACTGTTCTACCTCGTTAGCAGGGGTACTGCCAGACAGTCGTTTCTTCTGCCTTAGTTTGGGACTCATTGGCAGTACGCACCTACCATAGGTTTTCGAACCCAGGACCTTCCAGTTACAAGGCGAGCTCGTAGACCATTCAGCCACTGGGATCCGACTCGCCAGTGGTCAGTCCACGAATTCTAACCTCTAACAATTCACGATTTTAGAACGACCACTGCTAGCCAATTTCATCTATGGGAGCTTCATCCTTACTGCCGACTAGATAGGGCTCACTAGTCACGATTTCCAACTAGAACTGCAGGCAACTTCGTCCTGTAGCGAGTTACCAGTGAGCATCAGATTAATTTTCAAGAGTTGATCTGTTTTTCTAGTTTGATCACGGATTGATAGTGATAAAATTTTGTAGTGGCTATTGATTTAGGGTGAAATTAAAATGTAATTAACAGCAGGATTCAATCCAGAAGCCTTTGAATTACTAGTTCGACCCTCTTTCTCTATCTACCAGCTGAGCTACTGGACCTAATTGACAAAAAAACAAGGCCATCCTTTCACTGTCGACAGAAGTGGTTGAAGGAACTACTCTTCCATAAAACAGTATAGCCTAAAGGAATGATTTTCTTCATGACAGGTATTAAAGTTTATTAGAATAATGTATTTTTGAAAATATAATCATTACTATTAATAAATGGAGATGCATAATACATTAAACTCTGTATAACTCTGTATATTTCTGTTACTGACACATGATATTTAAAACAATAACTTTTCGAAATGACTAAAGACATCAGAAGAACTTCTGTATTTGGTTTGAAATAAAAAGTAACAAGTAAATAACCGACTCACTTGGTAATCTGAAGGTACTGGGCTTGATCCACAGGGGGTTAGCGTTGCATACTCCTAAACAGTCTAAAACTAGGATCAAATGTCTGTCCAGCACTCTCTAATTTTCAGTGGTTCTCTAACTGATATCAATTCGTGATCTACCTTGAAATTATTCGAATCCCTACAAATCAACAGTTAAAAATCAATTTTATGTTCACTAGTGACTGACTAGAGGGTAGAGTTACCTAGATTTCTAGTGGAAAATCCTGATTACCGGGGTACAGCAAGTTGGGTGATGAGGAAAAATAGTCTACGATGATACTCGCTGTGAGTGACACCATCTATCGTAAATTAACAGGGTTCAACCCCTGGTGGTGGTATTCGAGTCAAGAGTGCGCAGCCCTGAGGAGTTCCAAACAATCGACGAAGTAGTTACTTTTTGTCCCCTGGTTAGTTTGGAATCTAACTTGAAATGGGGCAAACCTCCAAGAATCCATACATGAAAAATACGGAAAATACTTTTGCTTTTTGCGAAATGACTATTTTTGACTTTATTATTAAAGTGAGAATAATGCAGTGACTTAGCTCCATAGGTATCCTTATCAATTAGTACTTTGCATTCACTATTAGGAACAGGGTAAGTAATGACATGACTGTCAAATAGTAATCCTCAGTTTTCTCATGTACACAGTTGATGAGTAAACGGATATATATATATAAACTTTGTTTTCTCCGTTGTTATCGGTCTTGTTTTTCTGTTATAGCTATAAACCAATACTTGAATATCAATGAGATACTCACTAGTGACTGGCCCTATTTAGGTAGGTAGTTACCTGGGGTTCTAGTGGGAATTTTTGACCAGTAGGGTACAGCAAGTAGGGTAATAGGACAAGTACCTGCCGAAGACATTGGCTAGTGGTCACACTATGTTGTCAAATGGTAGAATTTAGAATTCATGGAATGGCTATTGGATTGGGTCGCAGTGGCTTAGTGGTCTACGAACTCACCTTTTAACCACAGGGTCCTGGGTTCGAACCCTAGAGGTGGGTGCGTAATAATGAAGAGTCCCAAACTGGGACGGAGGAAACATCTGCCCAGTATTCCCTGTAGGTTTTCCAGTTGTTCTCTAACCGATATCGGATCATGATGAAATACTGTAACCTATTATAGATACAGTTACACGAAAAGATTATTAAAAGCCCTATGGAATCTAGTCATTTTACTTTGCGAAATGAATAATAACAAGTACAATATGATGCTGTTTTAAGGTCACATGGCTAGAAAAGATAAGCAAAAATTAACTCCTGTAGCGGACCAAAAAGGTGCATATCGCGCAACCAACAGATATGCAAAAGGAAATGGAGATTGAATGGGCATACGTTGAACAGACCGTTGAGTAACATCACGCGCCAAATGAAATCTGAATGGGAAATGACTAGTTCAGTGGGTTGGTGTGAACAGGAAATCAGAACTTGTGGACAATCTTGGAGCCAGCTGAAACAGGCTGAAGAGGACAGAGTGAAATGCTGATGTGCTGGTGAAGCTTCATGTTCCACTTGGGATCTAAGGGAATACTACTAAGAATAATGATTACTGACTTGAAAAGAACGAGCACAAACATCATAACCGCTGCTCGTTGAAAGTTTATAAAAGATTATATGCATCAAGATCTCGCTACCTATCGTGCTTCCGTTTATTAATTTCACAAGGGATACGTAATGAAGTGTCTATATTTGGGAATCTTCAGGGGGATCCACTCATGAACTCACCAGGAATTTAGCCCAGAACCTTCAGGCTTCAAAGCAAGCTCGTTGATTATTCAGCCACCAGCACGGAATTAAGTGGTTTATCAATTCTGAATTCTGACAGCCTACTGCTTGTTAACGATTGACTACACGAAGAAGCAGTCCAAAGTTTCAGTGGGAATTCGTAACCACTTGGGTCTATCAAGTTTGGGTGTGGGAATGAATACTTGTCGATGCAAATGGCTGGTGATCTCACTATATATTGGGAATTGGCTGGTGTTCGGAATGATTGGTCATTGGGTTCCGTCCCAGTCAGTGAAATATCAACTTATACAGTACAAACCTTAAAACTTCTGATGTTAGCCGGTTAGTGATGGTTAGCAATAGAATCCCGGATGCACGTTTTGTCCAATTTGGGATGCGTTAGTTGAATGTACCTGCAATTTCAGTGAATCATAGTGTTATCACTGAGATTTGAACCTAGCAGCCAAATTGTTGTAACAAATGTTGCATACTTGAAAGCTGAACCATTTAGTAGGTAAATATCATACCAGCAATTCTTTGTTAAATCGTGAATATAATCCACTTCTTTTTCATTTTTTGAAGGGACTGTATTCAGAAGACTTCAGCTTCTATACTGCCTAATAAATCTCACTCATAAAGTAATAATAATAAATAATAATAATAACGCATATAAAGTAGTTTTAGAGTGTACAGAAATGTACACTCCTAATTTTATAAATTTTCAAGCACTGCCTTTATCATTCAACATGATAAAACATTTTTTCTATTATCGGACTTCGTTTGGCATTTCGTAAAGAATTTAAGGTTCCAAAAGATCAGAGACACACTTCACAGATGAGTGACACTTAACACCAGCGGAAATTCACATCAACTATATTATTGACTACGCTTCATAGATACATATAGTTCGCACTTAAGCGAAAATACCCTCCCCCGTTGATTTTCATTCTTATTACGTCAAGGATGAGGCACAATTTTCAGAAATTATTCACTATGCAGATAATGACGTTAAATTGGAGTTGAGGTGATTTTCTGGCTCGTTTACTAAGTGAGCAGTTATTGTAACTGACAAATAATTTGTTTGGACACTAGTAACTAGTGTGACATGTCTAGTCCTTCCTTCAGTGCAGACTGAATTCTATCAGTCAGGTTTGCAATGTGGCCACCATTCTAGATAGCTCACCATCACGGTGCCGATTGCCTTCAACTATCTAATATCATCAAATCAATGTGCACTGTGATGCCTAGCTATCTAGAATGATGGCCACATTGCAAACCTGACTGATAGAATTCAGTCTACACAAAAAGGATGACTAGACACGTCACACTAGTTACTAGTGTCCAATCAAACTACCCACTACAGTCCTACAGGAGGTCAGACGCGAACCCGAATAGCTCAGTGGTAACGTCTCTGACTGCAGCTCTCCCTGGGTGACGCGGGTTCGAACCTCAGAAAGGACATGAGTTCCTTCAAGGCACTTGCAGATACGCCTTGCTGACTGTTGAGTGCTAACTAGCACGAAACCTAGATCAGGTAAGGCTTCCTGCTCATTGCCTCCAACCATTTGATACCATCAGATTTATAGTACTGTTAGTAAAGATTCATAACTCAAAAACCCACTTAACCTATTGATCTTGATTTGCCCAAATGAAGAACTTATATACTGGTGATAAGGAATCTCGGCTACACCAGTGATAAGCTCTGCTTAAAATGAGTGAAACGACCATCTGGCGTTTACATCACCTTGATCTTATTGGTCAGCAAGCACTTCTGACTAATGTAGGAGGTATACAAATACTCACTTTAATCAATATACAGTTACACTTGCTTTCTAGATCACCATTCACGACATTAAACAGATCACGCAGTTTGTGATTCGAGTAATCTCATTTTTCACACTTAGTATCGTGTGAATCTGTGATAGGAATTCTAAACCTGAGGAAATCACAACACACGTGATCTTTTTTACAAATGAACATCAAAATTAAGTAATTGAGCTGCATATTTTTTTCTGACATGAATAATTGGGATAACGAAAATTACAACGAAGGTTAATCATGCAAATGGTTACAAAATCCGATTAGTTTATTCTGACATTCGTTGGCTTGAAGGATAATCAGAGAAATATGTATGTATGTATATATATTCCTGGAAAGTAGTTAACCTCCTCATGCATTTTTGTCTTTAGATATTTCATTAGATTCTAGACTGACAGGAGTGATATTTAACATTTGGTTGGTAGATGATATTATCATTATTATTGTAATTATATTGGATTAGAATTATATTGGAGCAATTGAATGCCACATCACATGCATTTTCGATGGATTTTTAACCATTTCTTCCCATTGTTTAATTCCCGTTGTCTGTTTTGAATCCATTCCAATCTGTATATCGCCTAACACATGTTTCATACGTAATCGATTTATACACCTTAATTGACAAACAACACTTATCTGTTCAAGATTATTCTCCTTCAGTGGAAAACTAATCTTCTGATTAAAATAAGGATTAATCAATTCTTTACGTTTATGCGTTCTCTCCCGTTGAACCGTATGCTTACGATGCTTGAACATAACTAAAATATCTAATTCACGATTTTTCAATTTAGGCATATAACTCTCCAGCTTTAATTGTCTACATTCATATATACAAACATCAATTCTTGACCTGTTGGGATAATAACCTATGCCGACACAAAGTTCACCTATACCAAAATTATATCCAGTTCCAGCGACTAACCAACCAGTTTTTTCTAGATTTTTACCAACAAATTCACTGTGATCTTCATCTTGAAGATAAACTTCCAACTTACCAATACTACTATCTTGACAAATACTATCATAGGCGAATACCTCAAATATAATCACTGCCTTATTCAAATCACATTCTAGCATATGAAATGTGAACAACTGATTCCAGACTGGTTGATTTGTTTGTGTAAACACTTCAGTTTTGGCTTGTTTATCAATAATCCGTAAATTTTGTCCATCATATTTAGCCAATGTTATTGTAGCATATGGATGTAGAGATTCTGAATTATTTGGTCCAACTAAATTACTCGCTTTAAGGACACCAATTCTCAACTGTTCACGATCTATGCTATATTCCAACGAATATTCTAATGATCCATATTTATGCTGGATAGGATTTTGTACTAAACCGGGTATTTCATCAACATATATGCCTTTTGGACGTTTACGTAATACTCTTGGGGCATATTTTCGACGAATACAAGTACGCGTACATAATAGGATGAGGAAGATAAAGCCCAGACATGCAAGACATACTAAGATGAATAGAAATATAGCTAAGGGTTTACTGGCTACATGAAATGATTTTGTTAAATTGATTACAAATGGATTACTATCAAATGCAGTTGAATTCGATGTATCATTATTCAAAGTGGTATTCATTATCAGGGTAGGGATGGTAGTCAGGCTGACGTCAACTGTAGTATTTGTACTGTTCATGGATAATGATAACGACTGGAAAGAACTCGATAATCAAGATGGGTATTTACAGATCGACTGGATTGACGCTTTTTTAATCATTTTGAATTGAAGCCAGAGGAAGAAGTAGGTTGTTTGATGGATAAATTTTAAAATGAAGTTTGAAGTAATTTTAGACAGTTCTTGTTTGAATCGACTGATCAAGTGGGCTGTTTATCTCTCTCTCTCTCTGTGTGTATCTGTGCTAGAAACTGCTATTTCATTAGTTGAAAACAAGTTTGATAAAAGTAATGATAATAATAATAAATTAATACTGTTTGTTTTCTAAGTATCACAGCCAGTTAGTTAATTAACTGTGCTCTGTTTCTGTATATTATTATAGTAGTGATACTATTAGATTCATTAATCTATGTATGGACAATAATTTATTGACTAACAATTGGTTGGTGTTTTCTGTTTTAATCGGAAATGATGTGTATATGTGGGGGGGTGGGAGGGGGAGGTAGGGGTTGTTTGTTCGTGTGTGTTTGTGTGTGCCTGTGATCATTTTGAGTTTTCTTGTTTCTTTGTTTATTTTCGCATTTGTTTATTTGTTTGTTTCTATCTATCTACCTACCTATCTATCTATCCAACTATCTAACTATCTATCTATCAATAGTGGTGTAATTTCAATAGATTCAATAGGCGCTTATTTCAAATCGATGAATTCAACATTTTGTATCCATTAAAACAAAACACAAAAAAACAAGCAGATCATTTTGAGGTGTTAGAAGAACTTTATTAAAAAGACAAAGTAATCCATCTTTACTACGGTCATTTACATGTAGAATTAAAACACTACAATGTACTATTAGTAGACTATAATGTTAGCTGATATCTAGTAGATCACAGATTCTGATTATTTGTAGAGTTTAATTTTGAAATTCGTCATTTTCTTTTCAGGTGTTACATCTTTGATATGATCTGAAAAAAAAAATGTTTCTTTATGGCTTACATTGTAGTGATTAGGTATCCTTAGAGTCCTGTATGAAATTTGGGCTACTAAAAGACAGTTAGAGAACTATTGGGAAACCTGGGGAGTACTGGATAGCTTTTCCCTCTGTCCTAGTTTGGGACTCTTCAGCAGTAGGCGATCACCAGGGTTCGAACTCAGGACTTTCTGGTTTTGTTTGGCAAGCTGGTAGACCATTAAGCCAGTGGGACTATATATTCCCTTTGATTTTTTATTTATATTTGAATCAGAGATGTTGTTAAATCTTATCATTTTTATACGTACATTTAAAAAAAAACACATTTTATTTTAAAAACGTTTCGTGTTAGATACTAATGACTGATTGATGAGAGTAGTTGAATGTCACTCTCATATCAACCAGATCGATATGAGTGGTATCCAACCAGTTTATGTCAGTTGCTTAGTAATACAAGTAGCAAGAAACTCTGGCTGGGAACAAGCCAACCAAGAGCCGATCGCTCAACAAATATATAGGGGAAAATGGAGATCGATTGGACATACATCACTGAGGAGGCCGTTGAATGACACACTGCACACAGTGCAAGCCATCGCTCATGTGGAATGCAAATGGGAATCGATGAGTGAGTGGGTCTTCGGTGCACGGATGACATGGAGGAGATCGTGTGTTGAGGTGAAGGAGATTAGGGATTATGAACAATCTTGGGATAAGCTGAAGAGGACGGCAGAAGATAGGACAAAGTGGTAATGTGTCGCTGAAGCCTTTTTTTGCACTCAGAACCCAAAGGAAAAATAATATATATAGTAATATTAATCAGCAATACAACAATAGCATTATGCAACCAGGATTGTTTTCTTGACTGCCAAATATAGTATCAGGCAGGTTATCTTCACAAGGTGAGCTGTGACTAGACACTCAACTTCCGACAACGAATTCGAAGACTGTTCCCTTTGTTGAGATTTAAGCTACTGGGTAATATTACTAATGTTGACACAATAAGTGTGGATCATTGTTAACTGTATGGAATTTAAAGCGACTGATGAGTAATGTTTAATTTCATTTTTACATTCACCTTGACAGTAGTGTGATTACAGTGTGTATCACGTAAGTATTTATAAAGGTACATCTGAATAAATTAAATTGTATAGCGAGGAATTGTCTGATGTCTTTCGCGAAGTATCAACTAGGTCGACTGTTACCTGAACATTAGGGTTATATAAGTTGATTTGTTGGAGGATTGCATCATGAGCTGACATTAGTTAAAGAACCATTGGAAAATCACCTAGGAGTACTGGATATCCGTTTCCTTCGTCCTAGTTTGGGACTCTTCAACAATACTTGAAATCAACCAAATCCTTAAAAACTAACTCTTGAAAATTCTCTTTTGAGATATAAACCGATAAGCATTAGGAAGGGAGTTCTTTTTGCAACCGATCTGTTTTCAAACCTCTTCTTGCGTAAGAACAAATAATTACAAATTTATTTATATTATTATTATTATTATATCCTTTAATTCCTAGAGGAACATAGGGCTTCAGCTGTGCGTCTCCATTGCCTTCTGTTTTCTGCTAACTTTTTCACTCCGCTCCAAGTCTGTCCACATGCCTTCATCTCCTCCTCGCATGACCTCCTCCAAGTCACCTTCGCACTGACGACCAACTCGCCGCCTCCCTTTCGGGTTTCACTCGAGCGACGGCTTGTCTAGTGATGTCACTTGATGGTTTCCTCAGAGTATGGCCAGCCAATCCATCTCCATTTCTTCCTGCCTATCTGTTTCACAATCGGTTACTGGTTGGTTGGCTCCTAGAGATCCCTGTCGCTGATCTTTTCTGAACGGCCATCTGATCTTCAGTATTGAGCGAAGACAACTGTTAATGAAGGTCTGTAGTTTGTTTGAGATTCTCTTTAGGACGCACCAGGTCTCTGATCCGTATGGTAAGTAGCACTGACTTCACACTGGAGTTGAAAATCCAGATCTTATTTTTAATGCTGAGTGATGTTGACCTGCACACAGACATAAGGGTAATGAAAGCCTGTCTTGCTTTTCCGATTCTGGCTTTGATATCCTCCTCAGCTCCATTCGCCTGTAGTTGAAACCATGCTTCCTAGGTCGGTAGGTAAAGGAGGTTGTTTCTTTCAGGTTCCTCCCATTTATGCTGGCTGATTGTTGTCTGTTGTTGTTGTTGTTGCTGTTGGTGTTGGCCAGGTATCTTCATCACCTCCGTTTTATCTATGTTCACCTGAACTCCTTCCTATCTTTGATGCTTCTTCTGCCAACTTGTTGCTTTTCACTTGTATATCTTCCAGTTTGTGGGAAATCAGACATATATCATCGGTGAAGACCAGATCCTCCAAGACTTTGTGAGAGCCCATTTTATGCCTGTTTCCTCATTTCCCGTTGTCTGTCTCATTATCCAATCTACTGCAATCAGGAAGATCATTGGCGATAGTAGACAGCTTTGCCTCACTCCCGTCCTTACTTCGAAGGATTTCGTAAGTTTCCTGTTGTGGATTACTTGGCATGCAGCATCGTCGAATAACTGTTGGATGAGATGTATAATTGTCGATGGGGCCCCGTAGTAGCGAAGTAGTTGCCAAATCACCTCTCGATCGACGCTGAGTTATCGAAGGCCTTTTCAAAGTCGATGAAGTTGAGACAGAGAGGTGACTGCCATTCCAAGCTTTGTTCAATGATGATCCGTAGAGTGGCGATTTGATCAATACATGACTTACGCAAATAACATAGCCCCGACAATTGGCAAGACTACTAAGGTGCATAAAGATTAGTCAGGATAATATATAAATTTTGTATTGATTGTAACGAAGTGGAAACGAACATATAAAGTCGAAGCAGCGTATGACAGTCACATTAGTAAGTGGAGTTGTGATATGATTTTAATTGGAATATTTGGTATAATTAGATATGATATACATCGGTATATGTCAGGAAAAATACCTAGTGTTGTAGTGTCCTCTAAGCAACACAGTTTGACTGTAAAGCCTTCAACAACATCCTGAACACCATCTTCATGGCTAACATCAGTGTGAAGTGGACTTTTACAGTTCTGTCCAGCTGAAATATCCACCTTTCTTGGTGATCTTTATGGAGATTAGTTGTACCAGGGGATTCATTTCCTAATAGAACTATTCAATGCAGCGCTGAATACAGTGTGGGTTCGTACTGGCTGTTTTAATGTCTTCTTACACACTCAAACTTCTCCTTAAATTCTAACTGATTTCAGTCAATTGTTTATGACACTAACCTCGCTTGGTTTATTAGCCCACTAGTTTTCTAGCCGATCCCAAACCCGGGAAAAGATGGAGGGTTAGGAGTGGGAGTAGCTATCCTACCCCATAAAACCAAACAAACTGTTACAGAAAATTCAAAGCACAAGAAAAATATTAAAAAAAATAAATAATATAAAAAAATTACTCTTCGCTGGAACCGAAAAGGCAAAATGACACGGGAGGTTGGAGAAAGCCTTCGGGAAACCAGTCAGCCGGCTGATTTGTCTCCTCTCGACGAAAGCAAGAATGAGGATGGGGTCGTAGCTGTACGTATAATGTACGAGGCTGGGGAGACTTCCCAGGTAGACAAGGAAATGATTTAATGGGAGTTCAACCTATATCTCAATTTCGTCGGCTTTGCAAAGACCTTTGGCAGTGTAGCGATGACCTAGAAGTAATTTGAAACTATTTCAACACTATGGCATGTAGTGCCCAAATCTTTATCAGCTTCATTCAGTAGATGGCTATATGACAATGCAACGTTTCAGGCGATCCACAACGGAGAACTCAGCGAAGCTTGAATTGAGTGCAGGAATAAGACGAGGCTGGTTGCCTATTACCACAGATGATATTCTTAATTGTGTTGGACAGGGTTATGCGTCAAACTCTGTGTTGGGAGTGAGAATACAGGAATACGTTGGACCAAGAAGAATCTCGAAGATCTGGATTTCACGTGTGGCTGATTTGTGTTTAATGTCACACAAACTTGAAGACTTACAGTCTGAAGCCAGGAAACTGGATGAGGCAGCCGACTGTGAAGAC